TGGGAGCCTGTGTTAATGCATGGTGGGCTGTGCTAAGGCTGACTGTAGAACGGCAGACATTTCTCTGGTTTTAATTAATTAATTAGAGAGAGGGATACAGACAGTGAGTTGCTATCTGCTGATTCACTCCCCAAATGCTCACAATGGACTTCACTGGGCCAGGCTGAAGCTGGGAGCCAGAAACTCGATCCAGATCTTTCTCATGGGTGGCAGTAACTCTTCTTCTTGAACTATCCATCCCTACTGCCTCCCAGGGTCTGCATTAGCAGGAAGCTGGAGTTGGGAACTGGAAATTTAATCCAGGCACGCCAGTGTGAGAAGTGAGCATCTTCACCTGTGTCTTAACCATCTGCCCTACCAATTCTCTACTAATGTGAAGGCAGTTTCATTCAATGGGACTATTCAAAGGCCAACTGCCCAAGTACTAGACACACAGAGGGTAAAGGATCTTCTGAAGGACCTGACATCAGCAGACCTATCCATTTTATGTGTAGAGGGCCACAGAAAGCTGAGGCAGTCACCTGCTCCTGGGCCCAGTAAGGAGGACACCATTGACTCCCCTCGGTGCACTGCGGGTCCCATGTCCTTCCAACACCTGCTCCTTCTTCCGCTCTGGCCCAGGCGGCAATGAGGCCAGGAGGAAGCAGGAGGGGTGGAGCAAGGCTGCAGGCTGCAGTGGAGGGATCTGGGCTGAACTCACAGCACCACCCCCAAACCATCTGGTGCCCTGGCCCTTGCTGGAAAGGAGTGGGATGCAGGCAGTAGCATGGGAGGCATGGAGTCTTCCCACACCATCCACCCTGGGCAACTGTCTAGGCTCCAAGCTTGCCACTGGGTAGCAGGAGGAGGTGTGGTGGTTTAAGCATCCTTAGCTTGATATCAGGAAAAGTCCAGGCCTTGGAGTGCAGGAGGGAAGATCATGTTCACCCTTTTGTAGTTTTTCTAGAGGGGCTTCTCTGTGATTCCAACAAGAGTAGGGAGAGTGAGAGGCCCAGATGGGTGCCTGACCCGGAAGGTTGGATACAGGGTAGCAGTCCTGCTGCTTCCTTCCTCTGGGGCAGAGGGTGGGCCTACCACACACAGACTGCAGCATCCCTGGAGTGGCACCTCGGCAGGACTCTGCTGACATGCCTGCCTCTGCCCTGTACTCACCAGGGGAAACTGCTCTACAGGTATAGGAGTTGTAGGCTGGGGTGTGCTGCCAGTACTGCCCTGAGAGGGGTGGGAGACCCCTGAGGGACTAGCAGAAGCAGGTTGGGTGTGGTGCTCTGCATACTCCCCAAAAGCTCATCCCCAGCCCTGATGCTCTGAGATCTTTCCCCTACCCAGCAGGCTCATGCTCAGGCCCTGCCTCCTACTCCCAGCCAACTGGGTGTCTGACAGAGGCCTGACAGGGACAACCTGGGCTACCTCCTGGTGGAGACTTGTGGGCAGGACCAAATATAAACTGCTCAAAACTGGAGAGGTGGACAGACAGCCTGAGCATCAGCAAAACCTGGGCTCCTGCTTCCCCCTCAAAGAAATCTGATGTCCATGGAGCCTAAAGTCTTTTTCAAAACCCCACATGTAGGTAGAGAAGGGGGAACACTACTATCTCACACTCTCCTGACACTGGGCACTTCTGTGCCAATACATTATCAGAAGGAAGGTCTCTCGTGGGCGCAGAGACAGGCAGATAAAAAAGAAGAACACCTCTGTCTCATGGTTTTGGCAGCAGGTGAAACTGCTCATGTGCCCTGAACTGCTGTGACTGCAGAACTCCAGGAGAAAGGGTCTCTACCAAGGAGCATGGCTGGCATAGCCCCATTTGCTCCGAGCCAGCCTCAGCCTGGGCATACACATGGACTATGGATGGGTGGAATGGTGCTGAGAATCCCTGGGGGAAAGTTGGAGACAGCTAAAGGCTCTGGGTTCACAGATCTTCTGGTCTAAAATGAGCCAGAATAAATGGAGCCTTTCTAAGACCCAGTCTTCCTGTTTGCACTCAGTTCATTCCGCAGTTCTGCTACAGTCTTAACACTCAAACCAAATAGAGCACATGTCCACACCTTCTCCTGTCTGCCTAGCCTCGGTGCTGGAGAGGTGAACGCCACAAGTGGGTGAGGGCTGAAGCCCTTCAGCAATGCCAGGGCTCATGAAAGAAGCCCGAGTTTGCCAATCAAAAAAACTGTGATTTCCAATCTCACACACTACTTCTCACACACTGCCACATGAGGCTGATGGTGCCACCTGTGTGAGATTCTTGTCTCCAGACCTGGTCTGCTGCTTCAACAGCACCAGGTAAAGTGCCAGGACCCTGCCAGATGCTATGTGAGCACTTCCCACAGCACCAAGTTCTTCCTTTCCCTCTCCCTTCTGCTCTCATACCACACAACAGTTCCACCACAAGCCTGGGCAGCCAACTTGGCTTGGTTTACAAACCACTCCCTGCATTTCTGCTTGGTCACACGTGCACCAAATTCATTTTTCATTTTTTTTTTCTTCCCCAAAGATCCAAGACTAGCTTCTCTGGCAAACTTGGAGAGGCTCTGAAACTCTCATGTCACTTGTGTGGCATTGGGCCCTCTTTGGTACTGCTAAAGCCCTCCAGTCAGCAGAAAGTTGAGGAACCGAGGAGCAGTACATCTGCTGATGGTCTTTGGCTGTGGGCCCTGGGCTGCCAGGCCTCTTCCACCAGTCCCAGGGATATGCTCCACCCTGCCAAAAGGCCCCCCATTGGCCAGGTATACAGTGTTCCTACCCTTTCTACTCTAATTGGACCACTCCTGAAGAGTGAGAAACTGAGAAAGAAGTGAGTGCTCCAGTTGAGTTTGCTGATAAAGGGCACACTCCATGCCCCGCTGCCACCTAGACACACCTGACATCAGAAACAGCCCCCTGGACATGCCCAGAACCTTAGGCTGGGCAGAAGCTCAGGCCACAAAACAAACATGCCTGGGAACAGCTTTCCTGGCTAACATGACATCAAGCTCGAGGTGGTCAAAAACAGATGTGTTCTGAGCAGGATGAGTCTAGCCGCAAATGTGCAAGCCAAACCTGCAAACCTACTTCCTCGTCATGCAGGAGCCACCAGAGTGTGGCTCTGTGCTGAGCAGTGTGATGTGGGAACGATGCTTTACTGTGCCTCAGGAAAATTATGTGTCCTGAGCAGGAAAGCCAACTATGGAGAAGCAGAGGTTCTGCCTGGGGACTACAGAGGGAAAGAGGTGTGGACAGAGGACTAGGTCAGCATTTCCCAAACTGGGTGCTGTAGGGCTGTGGCCCCTGAGAGGCACCCAGATGGTAAGTTCAAGAGCTCAGTGATGCTCCTTGAGATGTAGAAAGCCCCAAGGAATCTTATGGCAAAGAGCCACTTCACCTGTGTAGCCCAGCGTTTGCTTCAAGCATTGGCTTTTTCACCAACTGCGGTGGTTCTGCAGTGAGTTTGAGTCTGCCTTGCCTCATGGCCCGGAGCCATGGCTTCCTCTCCACACGGTGAGGCAGATGGACCAAGCAGCTTCAGGGCCCTCCTACTCTGATGTTTTTCCAGGCACAGCCAAAAGCTGGCTCCCGCCCACCTAGCCAAGGTCCTGGGTTTGAGGGCGCCTGGAGGCAGAGGCTATGGTGGGAGGAAGGCTGGGATGGGCTCCAGGAACTGGTGGGATGCAGAGGGCAAGGCTAGTACAGAGAAGGGATGCCCTGCAGTGGCATGGGCCAGCTGCCAAGCCTCCTTGCTCCCATGAGACCAGGTGCTTCTGGCAGAAACACATAGGCGAGCATCCCCAACCTCCATCTCACTGTTCTAAATACTGAAAGGCAAACACTTATCTAACTGATGGGCGCGGGGATGGGCCTGTTTCTAATCACAGATGCAATAATCACGAGCACACACGCCTCCTCAGGAAGCCTCCACACTCCAGGAGCGACTCCAAAGCACTGAGTCATCGCCCCACACCGCTAGCTCCTTCCTTGGAATCTCACACTTACCTCTTGCAAACCACACGTCCCACACCCACAGCACCTCCTGGCATATATAGACCCTGACCCGTGAACAATTATTCTCACTCAATCCCTCTCCCACAGGGTCCAAACAGCCCTAGCTGCTGGAAATTGCAGAGGAGGCCAGGCCTGTGCCGGCAGTCAGCTGCTTTCCATACTACCCAAGAGGGAGAGGCAGAGGTTTCCATGGCTTGTCCTGGAGGAGTCGGGGGAAGTGAGGAAAGATACTCAGCTCACTTCAAATCGACGTCCACAGCTCACCCCACACAGAGGAGCACTTAGCTTCCAGGTCAAAAAAGAGCCCTTTGTGGGGTGTGGCAAGGCGTCTCCCAGCATCCGGAATGAAGCTTAGTGGGGGTAAGGCTGTGGAATTGAATGCCTCGGGGAAAAGGAGGTCAAACCCAAGGGAATGGTCCTGTGATGGCCTATTGGTGAACTTGGGACACTGACACCCGTTTGTGCTTGGCACTCAGCCAGAGCTTGAGCTGCTGCTCTGTCCCCTCCAGCCCAAAAGTCCAGAGAAGGAACGTCTGAGCCCACCTGGAAGGCAGGACTTAGCGAAGCTGTCTCTGGCTAATCATGGGCTCCTGGGAGCCCTGCCCCAAACACCTTGCTCTCCCCACCTCCAGCATCCCCTCAAGGACCGACTATCAGAGAGGTAGGGCTATCTGTCTCCCTTTGGGCCTTCTAGCCACTCATGGCCCTCTCCAAATGAGCATCTATTGGGAAAGAATGATCTAAGACTGTCTTTGGCCTTCTCCAAGACCATTTGTCCAGGTCAAACCTGGACTAGGAAGGAAGGCACTTCTTCTCTGAGACCCGAACAAGCATTCAAGGGATGCAGGAATCCCTCCAGAAATGCAAGGCCACACCTTATAGCCAACACCACTCTTGCCCCCAGAAGACACAGATGCTGGTGGCCAAGGAAAATGGCTGGGAAAGGAGTTGAGGAAAGGGGAAGGGAGAGGAGAGGCATGACCATGAGGCAGGGACGGAAGGGTGCTGGTGCACAGGGTGTTTACCTGGGTGAGATGAGGGTTGGGGTTGAACCCACACTGGTTGCAGACCTTGCTGTGACACTGGGTGCAGGTGTTGAAGTTTGGCTGGCTGGGGGTCGATGTGAGGTCCGAGGTCTTGCATATGGGACACAGAGTGCTGCTGGGAAGAGGGGCAATCTGGGGCACAGAGTAGGGTGATGTCGGGGTGCTGCCCCTGTCCGGCGACACCGAGGGGGACCGCCCTGTTCTCTGTGTCCTGCTGTCTACCTGCAGCGTCCTGCGTGGGCCATCAGCCTCCTGGCCTGCTGGGCCCTGTGCCCTTGTCTCCCGTGGGCTCTCACGGCCAGGAGCAGCAGTAGAAGCCTGCTTCGGGGTTGGGGAAGCTGCTCTCTGGCTACCCACAGGCTCCTTGGAGTCCAGTCTCCGGGAAATGCTGAAATGACATCAAAAACAACTGTGTTAGAAACACATCTTAGAGAAGCAGCCTGCAGAAGCTCTAGCACGTAATGCCACCACACTGCCATGCTCCAGCCACACCTCATCCTCACGCCATGGCATAACCCAGCTCCCATTCTCTGCTTCATGAGTGGCCCCTCTTACATGTTCATAGGCTGCAGATCCTAAGGATCTGGGGCTGGCTGACATTTCTAAAAAGATTTATTTACTTGTTTATTGGAAAGGCAAAGCAATAGAGAGAGAGCGAGAGAGAGAGAGAGAGACAGAGAGTCGGCCATTTACTGGCTCACTCCTCAAATGGCAGCAATAGCCAAGTCAAAGCCAGGAGCCAGGAATTCTACCCTGGCCACCCACAATAGACAGCAGGGCCCCAGCCCTTGGGCCATTTTCTGTCACCTTCCAAGGTGCATTAGCAGGAAGCTGGATCAGAAACAGGGCAGGAAAAAAAAGTAGGGCAGCCAGGACTCTAATCTGCACTCTGATATGGGATGTCAGCAGCTTTACCAGATGCACCACAATGCTGGCCCTCTCAGCTGCATTTTAGTAAGTTCCAAAACTCTGGTCTGCAGATTGAATTTTGAGACCCACCAGACCAAATAACCTCAAGGGCCTTCCATGGACCACAGCCTGGGTCCATGGAATCAACCCCTGCCAATTCCACACAATGGAAACATAAAGAGAGATTTTAGAATTTGGACCCTAGATGGGATCACATCAGATTTTGTGGAGGAAACCTCTTTGCACTGATATTTTCCCAATACCAATGTGAATCCAATAAACTGTCCAAGTTCAGAGCTACTGCCCTGGAAGGTCTACTGCCTCTGATCTGTCCCCTTCTGAGGCTGATCCCAGACAGCCAGGAAAAGCAGCACATGCTAATGCCCAGTTAAGGCCATCTACAGCAAGGACATTTATACACAGAGTATGTGTGATGCCAAACCAAGTCTATCACGACAGAATGAGAGTAACTATTCCACTGGTGTGAGGCTGGGTCAGGTTGAGTTTGGGGTCCAGTCCTTGAGAAGCCACTGGCCTGGCTGCAGGAGCTGATAGTTGGACAGTTTAATAAAAAGCAAAAAACCATCAGATGAAAATGCAATCCCCTTATCTTCTTTCTTCTTTGACCAAAATTAAGCTCATTTTCTGCCATTTTTTTTTTTCTTATCCAACTTGAAAGAGACTGAACACAGGAAGCCAAGGCAATGCTTCCCATTGCTTCTCTGAAATTCTCTATTCACCTCAGTGTGTTTACCTAGGTGGAGTCAGGACAGACACGTTGAGAGCAACTGCAGGAGCCGCAGCTGCCTGGGAAGGAGCCTGCCTTGGCCCACCCACCCCCATTTCTCAAGTCCTTGCAGGGTCTGCCCTCAGCGGAAAATGACACCGAGGGGGACCGCCCTGTTCTCTGTGTCCTGCTGTCTACCTGCAGCGTCCTGCGTGGGCCATCAGCCTCCTGGCCTGCTGGGCCCTGTGCCCTTGTCTCCCGTGGGCTCTCACGGCCAGGAGCAGCAGCAGAATCCTGCTTCGGGGCTGGGGAAGCTGCTCTCTGGCTACCCACAGGCTCCTTGGAGTCCAGTCTCCGGGAAATGCTGAAATGACATCGAAAACTCACCAAAAACATCCAGGAGGTAAACTGTCATCCTTACGTAGGGACTATGCTAATCCTTTCTGTATTGTTCCAATTTTAGTATAAGTGTCACCAGAGAGAGCACCTCAGGGGGCAAATGCTAGGAGTGTCATCATCGATCAGGGGAAGAGGTGGGGAGCCCCCTTCAGGAGGTTCAGCCCAACTTACTCCAAAATGGGTCTCCCTTATGAGAAAGTAGGGTGGAGATATACTTCAGTCCAAAAAAAAAAAAAAAAAGACTTTCAGAAAAGAGGCACATTATCAAATGACCAGCAAACATCCCTTCCATCCTTCCATCAACCACCAACGTGCCCCTAACCATGTATTCACAGCTCTGCCATTTCCTTCGGTAGTAAGACAACTGGAGTCAGAGCCTAAGCTCTCTGAGCCACCCTTGCCCCCAGCTGTGGGGCACAGGTTGGTGGGGGCCATGTAACCTTGGTCTCCATTCACATTGTGGTCTCCTCACAGTGTCTCAGTAGACTGACATAGATAGATATCTAGGTATCCTAAAGAAATATTTCCTGTTTGGTTAAATTAATAGTTCCCCCCTTTTTTCACTTAAATTATTTGGGGGCTGTAATTTAAAAGCAGTCCTTGAAAACTAATCAGAAGCAACTGAGCATCCTTTATAATACATGAATGGGTTACAACAGCCCTCTCCCCAGGCTTCTGAGAAACATAGCAATTTCTACTTTATCTGGGTTGACTGGGAGTGATGGGCAGTGTTCCGTACACACAGTGACTTCTGACTTGAAGACTGCATCACAGCGCAATCTTTCTGGGTATATTCTCTCCAGAGCCATGCCTGGGGCAAACCCAATGCCTAATGGGTAGTTCCCTGAATGGATGGGCCCCGCAGAGCAGTCAGTGAGATGTGACCCCAAAGTATGATGGAGCTGAGGAAACATGGCTAGGGCCCAGCCCAGCTTTTAGCCCTTGTCTGGAGAGGACGCTATGTAGACACAATTCCAGGTGACCTCTCTGGCTGCTGGCCCCACACCCAGCTTCACGTCAGATATGTTCCTGCTGACCGTCACAGTGGTAACACCACCACAAGACATCTGTCTCACAAGAAATGTAAAGCCTAACAGAAAATCCATTGGGTAAGAGACCACATCGCTCATTTCATAGACAAAGAAATCACAACACGTGCATGTTAAGAAGCTTGCAGAGCTGCCCCAAATTTCAAGTAGCACATCTGGGATTCTAACATCCAGTTTGCTTGTCCATGTCCTTACCCACTGTCCTACACTCTCCAGGGAGCAAGCATAACTGTGAGAGGGTGATAAGCAATGATGGTTAAGTTCTTTGGATTCTTGTTCCTTTTTTCCCTAGAGAGGAAATGGTCTCTGACCATTCTGTTCCCCACCGCATTCTCACACCCAATGTAATGCACCCAAAAGGGGCACAGAAAGGTGTGTGAATAGCACAGTGAGCCACAAAGCAATGCCAAGTTTAGGTAGTGACATCATTCAGTCATAGCTATTTTGCCTGCAGTGTGCTCAGTAACACAGAGAGACTCACGGAGAAAATGACTCTAATACCAGACAGTTGTTCCTCTGTTTGCTCAGGCATTTGTTCAGTCTTTCTATTTTTCATATACATTTATGGACTTCTGGACTAGCTCTAGGCCCTGTGATAGGCTTTGATAGTAGGAAGGAGTCATCTCTCTTATAATGGGGTGTAGAGCCATAGGTATTTGTTGTGTTGTTACTCTCCACATCTTATACATATTTTATAAGTCTCCTTACATTCTTGATAAATGTCTATTCAATATTTAATTAAAACACATTTTTAAAAAAGTGAATCAGTCAGGGCTCCAGCCCTCTGGGGCATCCAACCCAGAGCAGAGACAGATGTGCAAACAAATCACCACTCCAGAGGATGGGCAAAAGCCTCAGAGGGCTTTAAGGACATGGAGACATCCGAACCAAGTGTCCTGAAGTACAAGCTGTGTTCCTCAGGTGCAGGGAAGGCACACACAAAGGCCCAGAGACAAGTCAGAGCATGTTCTGTCTGGATGATTGTGCAAGGCAAGCATGGCTGAGGTGAGCCATTGCTATTTCCAGCATCTAGAATAGCTCCTGGCTCTACTATATGGTCAAACTACTTGCATTAATTGAGAAGTTTAAAGTTAAAGTGGAAAGGGCCAGAGCAGCAGGGCCTGGAAGGGTTTCAAACAGGGCAGTGCTTGGGCCCTGTGTCAAGGAAAAGATGGGGTAGGTAGGGAAGCCAGCAAGAAGGCAGGGACCCAGGGTAGTCTGCAGGCCGAGGGGGAGCAGAGGAGCAGTTACCATGCTCCCGCTCGAGCGTACTAAACAGGGAGTCCAGGGAGAGAAGACAAGTGATGGGTGGGGAGTGTAAGAACAGGACCATGGGTTTGGGTTTGATTGTATTGAAGTTGGAGGCTGGCAATCCAGGAGACTTCGGGAGACAGGCCGTAGCATGGACTCAATTCTGATCAGTGAGGATACATTTACCTGAGAGAAGGAAACGTTAAGTTCACAGGCACTTCTCAGTGGTCAGAGACCACTGAGAGAGCCCTGTGGAAAACACCAGTATTTCTTGGGGTACAGAAGATGCCAGAAAGAGGGCAGTGGAGAATGGAGGATTAAAGAGAACAGGTTCACAGGACTAGGGGTCCCTAGGAGGCAGAGCATTCAGCAACGCCACATGCTGTGATGAGCTTACAGATCTGAAGGCTGAAAAGTGATGACAGAAAAAGGCCACACACGTGAGGCTCATACCCTGTGAACACACAGTTCCTCTCTAGCCCCACCCAGCTCGGAAGAGGTCAGCCCCCTCCTGCTGAACACAAGGCTCCAGCACTCAGCAGGGGCAGGGCTCATGTCTGTCTGGACACAAGTTCCAAAGGGACAGGCTGGAACAGCTGGAGGCTTTCACCCTAAAGGAAGAAGGGGGTGAGCCTTCTAGAAGACCTCGTTGAGAGGCAAAAATAAGCATCTCCACAAAAATATTGCTGCTGAAGCGAGAAAGGAGTAAGTGAGGCAAGGAGAGAGGAATGCCCCCAGCCGTGATCCAACCCAGGTCTGAGGAAGACCTGGCACTGCTGGGGTGAAGGACCCACATCTCCCACCATGGGGGTGGGAGGTGTCCTACAGGGAGGCCGTTAGAGGCCAGAGCTCCCTGCTGCAGCCTTGGGAGCCCTATCACGGGGAGTCTGCGGGGAGGGGCAAGGACACTGCCATGAAGCAGAAAGGTTGGCGGAGAAGGAGGGAGAAGGCGGAGTGTGAAGGAGCAGCCAGAAGACAAACAGGAGAAATCAAAATGTCTTATCAAGGGATAAATATTTTTTTAACATGGCTATAAAAAACAGAAAACATAGA